TAAGCCTTCTTACGGAGGATCAGATAAGAGTCTTCAAGATTTTTTAAAAGGGAAGTTACTGACAGTACGACATGCTTTCTGATTGTTTACTTTCAACTGCCCTGGCCTTTTAATATTTTTCTTTGGGTAGTTCTGCCTTGAAGAAGCTTAATATGGGAAGGAAAACTGCCTTTTGAATCAGTATTGTTTATAGCTACCCTACCAAAAGAGTAAAAGAAAACTTTTAACTTTTTTTTTTTTTACAATTTTCTTCTAAAGGTTTGTTCCGTGCCTTGAACTGAACAGCCCATGGCCCCTTTGTCTTTTAAGTTCCTGATGTATGGTTTATTTATAAAGGAGATGGGGTTTTGAAAGCCATGTTAATTGGATTACAGTTAACCAGAGCTCTGTCAAAATTCACATTCAGCCTGTTAAAATGCTTGCTCACTTGGAAATTTTAATCTGGAAACCTCAGCTGCAAAATTAGACTGAAAAGGGAAATGGATTGACAGTGGAATGTTCTGCGTGTTTGAGCCACTGCTAAGTGTGTTTGTTTTTTCTGTGTTTTGGATTGTGTGAACGGGAAGTTTGGGAAGTGGGAGAAGTGGAGGAAGCTTTCTGTTCTCCATTCGCGATGCACTTTGCTCTTTAGACTCACTCTACAGTCAACCAGGTAGGAGGATGGCCGCATTCATGCCCGTGCATGGCTCATGACCCAGTCACCTCACCTTGTACGCAAGGCAGCTGTGTTATTTGAGCTTATGTCTCTGTGCTGAAGGCACATGATAGTGCCGTTCAGAGAAGTAGCTCTTGAAAGATGCTTTATTACCTTATCTCTTACTTTCTGTGTCAAGAGCAGCAGTATTTGTTTTGACTGTCTACAAAATGGGGAAGCCACTCAGCAGACCAGACTGCTTACGTCAGAATCCTCCTTGTGTAGGGAAGGGTGAGGAAGAAGAGGACCTAAATATCGAAGACTGCTATGTCCCACAGCGGTCGATCTATGACACAGTCAGACTAAATGAACAGATTGACTCTGGCTCAAAAGGTAGCCTGTCTTCCAGGCATTTCACAGATCGGACTTTACCCTACAGTCACAGAACACTGGATGTTAGTTCTGTATGCTCTAATGGTGCCCTTACTTCTTCTAGTGTGTTTGAGCTGAGAGGCCGTGAAGCTAACAAACTAGACGAAAAGATGATCTTTGATGCACTCAAACTAAATAGTGATATTATTCGAACCACAGGATTACCCAAAGCCAAATCTCATGCAGAAAAGAAAGAGCATAGACGGTCGTGGAGAATGTTTGTCCCAGTCAATTTTATGGATTATGCAAACAAAAGTGAAAGCTCTTTTGTGGAACCTGTTGACGTGTCAGATGCAGCTTTCAAGGCCAGCAAGTGCAGATGGGGTACAAATTCTCTAACTTCCGAGGAGGATGATTCTGGTTTATGTGGTCCTCCTGCAGAAAGGGAAGAAAAACAGTCACAAATAAGAAGCTTGTCTTCAGCTGAAGATATTTGTGTGACAGAGCAAAATAGGTCCGGTTTTTCTGTCAATTCCATTAGTGAACAGAAAATCCCCCTACTTTCATGTACAGGTGCCTGCCCTGAGGATAACTTCAAAATGATTTTACACAGTGTTTCTCCACTGGAGGAAACAAAATGTGTAAGTGGTCGAAAGGCAATCAGTTGTTGCCTGCAGAATGATTTGAAGGACCGCACTGGTTGTGATCTACTACTTATGCCAAGAGATGGAGGAAAGGAGCATCTTTCTAACCCTGGACAAGAGGAGCAGGCTTACTGCCCAGGAGACTTACAAAGCAGAGCCCAAAGCCTGGAACTCATGCACGATCTCCCTCAGGATTCAGCGCTCTCTCCCCCAGGTCTGCGGAACAGGGACATAGACTGTAGTAGCACAGGTTTGGTAGAAAATGTGACATTGACAACGCAATATGATTTAGAAGAATCCACAATAGCCTCTAGTGGAGAAGAGGACGCTTCCCTTTTTGCCCAGGACTTGGAAGGGACTCCTACTCAGTGCTCCCTGAAATTGAGACCAGTAAAAAAGAAAACACCATCCAGAAAAACAGAAGGCCAGGCAGGAAGGTTGGACGCAGGCTGCAGTGGTTTCCTGGCAGGCCAGGTAATTCGTGGCCCTGTGAAGTTACAATACCGAAGCTTCTGCTTCTCTTTCCACGTGGTCACCAGTGTCGCTTAGCTATGATCCAATCCAGGCATTTATCTGAGGGGTTTGACAGGCATCCTGCAAGATGCCAGCTATTGATAAAGGATTAATTTGGGATCAGTTTGGGGGAAGGATAATTACCCCCAGCTGTTAAGGGTCCTGCTGTTGGTGCCAGGGACAGCACTGTCCACTTCATGCAAAATACCTCCCCTGTGAGTTCAGTTTAAAGTTGGGCTTTTACACAAGTTGTGACCAAAGACACTGCCATTTAAGGGCAGTTATATTGGGCTTATTAAGCTTCAGCTGGCTTAGTCATGAAGGTACAAGCACAGTATTATATTGTTGTTATCTTAACCCAGGTTAAGGACTTTTAAAAAGTGCTGCAGATGTTCCCTGGGAAGCTCTGTGTGTGAGAGTGAAGTTAGAGTTACTATGCTGTTTGTGCAGGCATTATGGCTCCTAACTTTTTTTTTAAAATAGTACATGCTTCCTAAGTTTTTATGCTTTAGGATGAGGTAAGAAAGTAAAGGGTGCAACCTTGTAATAAGCCAGAGGTTGTTTTTCAAGCCTATAATTTTTTTCTTCCCACTCAGATTGAAGTTCAGCTATTTTTGTACTTTTACTAACTCGTCTGGTAAACTTTGCCTCCAGGGCTGTTTTATTTTAGTTTCTCTGTGTTTGTGTGTTAGCTTGCTTCTTTGTGTTAGTTTGGGGTGTGTGTGGGGAGCGGCTCTCGACAGGCTTCTTGTTACCACTGATAGGAGCTTGGACACTATCAGAGAGGTTCTCAGCCTGCGAAATAATTGCTCTCATCAGCTGTGCGCTTTCCTTTGGCGTATAGCAGATGGCCTGCTGATTGGAAGGCCTAGCAAAATACTTTGTTTTCCTTGTCAGGGATTTTGTAGTTTATTTGAAGATAATTTTTTTCTCTTTTAGTCCTCAGTATATTTTTGTAGCACTTTGGGAAACTTCCAGAGTAGACCTGCTTTGATACACACCTTTCAAGTTGACTCAAAGCCCAAATCAGAGGTTAGGTAAATGTACTAGAACTTATATTAGTTAGGGTTTTTTCCCCTCTGGTCCTGAAGACTGTGAAAGAAGGAGAATAAACCTTTTCTCCAAATAATTATATGCCAGACAAGTTCCTGCAACTAAGAATATGACAGTTGTTCTAGATCCCCTGCATTTTTTTTTTTAAGGTAAATAATTAAGCATATTCAAAGCTATTAGTTCCTAGAAGTAGAAGCTTAGAAAGTGGTGTGTAAAAGAAATAGGGTTGCACTGCCAGGTTCTGTCTTTATCACCTTGTAGCTTTCTGCTGAGTTACTTGACAAGTTATTTTGAAAATATATAAAAACTTAAGTTTGTTAGATTTGGAACCAAGTGGAATCTTAGTGGAATTAGGTAGAATCTTAGTGGAACTAGGTGGAATCTTACATTTATGTGCGATTTTCATAGTATTGTTGTATAGAAACAATTATTCAGTATTGAAGTTGTCTATATGAACGTTCTGTAGAAAAAAGCAAGTTGGACTTGAGGCTTTCGGGGGGGGGTACTTTTAGAGGAAATGGTCACTAACTTGTTTGTTGTTCTCTAACACATTTATTCACACAGTAACACAGGCGCATCCTGTGTGCTAGGCGCCGGGCCAGGTTCTGGAGAAGGGCTTGTCTTCTGCAGCCTCTACATCTTTCAAAATTAGTTTTCCTGCTGTGCCTGTCATTTTCTTTTGAAGTGCCTTCATTATGTTTCTATCTATTCTGTTTATCATTGATTACTTGTATAATAGCCTTTAGCACAGAGACTCAGAATCCCAAACTGTGTTTTAGCTTAATATCTGTCTGACCTTCCAGCACACGTTAAAGAACTGATGTGTCAGCCACCGTGTTTCTTTTAAGGGATTAATGCCACTCACCTGAGCTGGAAATAAACTTGTGTACGGTGGAGTTCACTCAGCAGCTAATTATTGAGTATATATTACCTGCTGAGTCACTGTAGTGGTTGCAGGGCATAAGACTGCTGGAAGGAAGCAGGCAGTGACTTTGACTTCTCTGATCCTGCAGGTTGAACACACTGAATCCTTTGCCAGACACCGGCATTGGGGGACCATTAGTTGTATGGGGACAGAGAGTAAGGGAAGAAACATGGGGACACTGCTGCCAGCACTTGCAAGGGTGGTGACAAGTAAAGAGGAACCAGAGTCGTCATGCTGCTTAATGTGTGTGATCAGGTCCATAGATGGCCGCTGCGCCTCTTGCAAGCCTTCTGGCATTTTTATACGCATCAGAGGGACTAGGTTTGTAGGGACCCTTACTGACTTAGCACACATCGATATCTTTTTCTTTTCCTGTGTGTTTGTGTGTTTCGCCTCTGAGTCCACTTTATTTTCTTGGTACGATTCTCCATGTCCAATTTGAGTGTCAAGCTTCAGTTGCCAGCTAACAGCATCCTTCTGAGAAGTTCTGAGAATTCCTCCCGGTGAGGCTCAACCTGGGTCCATCTGCCCTTCTGCTCCTTATCCTGTTCTGTGAATCTTTCACCTGAGTTAAGTTGGGACAATAGAACATTTCTCAGGCTATAGTAATGAAGCCATAAAGGATGCATAGTCCTATTTTCTTATTTCATAGGTAATGTCACGTATGATCTCATTCTTGATATTCTTGAATTACTTTGATCATAAAATTTTTTATTTAATTTAACACATTCACAGGGTACCTATGGCCAATGACTAAGAAACAATTATCTTTATTTCTGTAATAACTCAAAGTTTTTACTACCTTATGACTATAAACACTCACTGTGTGTTGGCTGTATTGTGGCTTTTCCCACTGCAGGTTTTCCAAAAGGAAGAAATAGAACCCTTGCAGGTTAAACATCAAGATGTAAACTGGTTGGGTCAAGGGCTGATTCAGAGCGCTGCTAAAAACACCAGCACTCAGGGCTTGGAGCATGACCTGGAAGGTATCAGTGCTCGGTGGAAAGCTCTCAATAAGAAGGTAAGGTTTTTATCCCCTTCATCATTTTTGTTAGTTATTATTCACTGGCATTTAGTGTGACCTTTCTTCAGATTTATAATATCCAAGCTTCCCTAAACATGTCTACTTTTTATGTTGCTGTACACTGGATAGCCTGAACACAGATGTCCCCACGTTAGGCAGCACATAGGTAGAAGAAACTGGGCCTGTCCCCGTTGTTGACGGATGTTGATGGCACAGGGCAAGAGGCAAAGCAGGTGTGGCAGCAGGCAGCTGGGAAGCTGCCCCAGTTGAGAGAGCAGGTGCCTTGAAGGGCTCGGAAGCCGCTTCGCTCCAGACAGCCTCCTGTGTGTAGGGCTTTCCATGCACCTCACTGCCACAAGTTCTGCTTACTGCCTAGAGCACCTGGAGAGCTCACTTCCTATGCGAAGCCTTCACACTCTCAAATGTAATTGATTTCACATTGTGCAAGCAAAAGAAGGGCTGTCCCTGTGAGCCCTAGACCGAGGGTTTGCCACCTTCGCTGTAGACTATCAGTTCCAAATATTGTCCTACCTCACTTTCCATGAGGAAAGACGCTGGAGGTAGTGCTCTGCTGTCTTATAGCGGTGATGTGGATTCGCGGTGGCTCCTGACGTGAATGATCAGACGTTGCTGACAGCGCTTCCTGTTTTGTGCTAGTGCTTTTTCTTGTTGTCTTCCCTGCATTGAAATCTTAAGCAGTTTCCAGATCTTAAAATCCCATTATCTTTTAAGGTCTCAATAAAGAGGTAATTTCTTTTTGACAGTGATGTACGTTAAACACAAATTGGAATGCAGTGTCAGGTATACGTTCATTCAGTGGTGCTTATAGCATTTTGACCACATGTTTCAGTCCAAAAGGAGAAGAGCTATGAAAACAGCAATAGGACATCTCTGTGTAGGACGCAAAGACTGAAGAGACCCTAGAAGACAAAGGCCTTGGTTTGTGGGAAGAGACTCATGAGCTGGTGCTAACAGAATTTAACTGTTTTACATGCCAAAATCCAAATAGCTTTTGCTGTAATAATTTCTTATAATCTCAGTCTTTTATCATTATCCCTAATAGTCATCCATGGGAAATAAAAAGTGAATCCCAGTGGTAATAAATTGACTAAAACACAGGTTTTCAGTAATTTTAAATATTGGAATTTCTTTTTGCTAACCACAAATATGTTGGGCATTTCCAAGCTCGCACAGGTGTAGTCTCTGACTTGACTGTTTGGGAAGGTAACCTTAGGACTTACTTGTTGCAGTTTGAGTCCTTTTCACTCCTTTCAATGCTTTGCATAGATTTTAAGTGAAAATCTAAAGAGAATGTGTGATAAAATGAGAAATCAGCAAGAAAAGTGGTAGCCAGCGGCAGATTTCATTCTAAGTAAGCAAGTTGGTGTGCCTGGACCTCCACAGGTGGCTCAGCGAGCAGCCCAGATGCAGGAGGCTCTGCTGCGCTGCGGGAGGTTCCAGGATGCCTTGGAGTCCCTGCTCAGCTGGATGGCGGACACCGAGGAGCTTGTGGCCAATCAGAAGCCCCCATCCGCCGAGTTCAAGGTGGTGAAGGCCCAGATGCAAGAGCAAAAGGTAAGGTAGTGATACTTTTGTACTATTTCATATATATATATATTTTTTTACTGTTTCATATTAACTCTTCAAAATGAGCTGTATCAGTGGGCTGTCCTCACTAACGGGTTCATGCTGCAATAGATACTGTTTCGTTAGTCATTAAGCAAACACTTCCTGAATATCTACTGGAGTGTGGGCAGTTTTTGTTCTAGATGCTGGGGAATACATCACTGAATAAAAATAATTGGCCAGCATGGTGGCATATGCCTGTAATCCCAGCACTCAGGAAGCTGAGGCAAGAGGATTGTTGTGAGCTTTACCATCCTGGGCTACAAAGTGAGCTCAAGGCTGTCCTGAAAGACATAGATAGACCCTTTCTCAAAAAACAAAAAATAATAGAAATTCCTCATTGAGGCTGAAGTCCGATGAGAAGGATGGGATAAGGAGCGAGACAATGAACAAGGTGAATGTGGAAGTAAAGCAGGGAAAAGAGTTAGGAATCAGAATGACAAAACAAGGATGGGCAGGTAGGAATGCTGAAGAAGAGGGGATCTATATATGGTTTTAAAAATGTATTTATTTTTATGTATTTGGTACAGGGTCTTACTACACAGCTCAGACTCGTAGTAATCCTTCTATGTCTTCAGCCTTCCCAGCACTGGGCCTACAGGCGTGCGCCACCACTCCCAGTCTTGGTGGCTGGCTCAGTGTGCCCAAGGGTGGAGCCAGCATGGCATGTGGTGTCGGGGATCAAATCCCGGGTCCCTGCTATGTATGGTTTTGAATAAGAAGGGTTTCACTCACTAGGTGACATTTGGACAGAAATATTACTGTTTCCTGATACATTAGTCTATCTGTATGAAACGGTGTGAACTATCCACGGCCATCGTATACAATTTATACGGTCAGCCAGGACACACTTGATGGCATTTTCGCAGTAGCTCGTGGACTAGGACGCCAGATGTGGGCTTAGGGCACAGCACACTGGCTCGGTTTCCCCTATGGAACTTTAAAAAGAAAGGTGTATATTATTTTAATTTTAATTAAATTTAATTTCTTGGCCGGGGACATGGCTCAGTAGAATAAGCACTTGCCTGGCAAGTGCAAGGGCCAAGTTTGATCCCCGGTTCCGCAAAAATAAATAAATAAATTTAATTTCTTTACGTTTAAAACTTTTTTAATTAAAAATTTGTCTTTCTATTCCTGGCTTAGTTCACTTGATAAAGTTAATACTAAGAGTGTATTATATATTTCAAAATAGCTAAAATATTTTTAAGTGTTCTCAATACAAAAAAGTGGCAAATGGGAGGTGCTTGATATGTTAGCCTGATTTACACATTACACACACACATACACACATATGTCACATTGCACTCCAAAAATACATAGAATTATTATTTTCAGTTAAATTTTTTTAAAGCTTTCACACTTGGCCTCAGTTTTTTAAAATTTAAAGCCTACTCCATTTTAATTTCTGCATTTCATAGTATTTAAAATTTATCTGAAAACTGCAGGACATTAGAGTTAGAAGTAAGCTTTAAGGAAACACATTGCATTTGTGTCATTTTTTGTTTACTAATCTACACCTGCTACCATTCACAATTCAGTTTATTCTCCCAGAGTTAATTAACCATGCTTAGCCAACAAAATCCACTTGTTGAGTGGACTTTCTTAATTGCTGGAGGCATTGCTACTAAAGCTTACCAAAGTAATTTACCTAATTAGCTTTCCTTGCTGGCTAAACCATCTGTTCTACTTTGATTATAAAATAACTCCACTTGTGTCAACAGAGCACTTCCTTGTTAATACGTATTCCTCTTGGCTCTTACCTTGGAGGTCATGGTCTCAGAATACTCTGGTAATGTTTTACTTTTGAGTAGCTGTTGAGTCTTGAACCCCTGACTACCAGTGAGGGTCGGCTGGTAGAGGCTGAGGCAGTCAGTGTGCTGTCACCCGGGCCTTCCTTGGGGCTTTAATGCAGTGCCTGCGCATGGCAGGTGTTGAGGAGCAGCTGGCTCTAACGAGGTCAGAACCAGATAACTGACTGTGCATCCCCATCTCAGCCATTTCTCCAGGCATCTCGTGATGCTTGATTAGAATTAAATCGAATTTTGCTCCTACTGCCAAAGCCCAGAACATTGGCCTTATTTGGCCCAGCTTTGTTGCTTCTATACTATCTTGCTCTGTAATATTTAAAGGCTAGGTTTTTCATTTTCTTCCTCATAAAGGCTTTTAGGATCTAGGTGCAGCTAGTGAAAGGACCCCAAGCACTGCTCCTATTAGACTTGCGAACTTAAGAGTTTGACCAGAGACTTAACTTCCTTGTCAGGCCGGGTTGTTTAATCTGGGAAAGGATTTTGATAGTAGAAATGATTCACAGCAGTGTTTTTCTTTGTATAGCACAGGTAATTGTTGAATGTTTGAGCCGTTCCTATTTCATTAAAATGAGGGGAATTTTGTACTTTCCATGATTCAGTAGGGTCATTCCAAACCACACTTTGCCCTTTGTTGTTTTATATAAAAATTAATTATGAAGAGTTTAGTGGCTTTACTCATACTGGTTTTGCATATTCTGAAAAGCCCTACCACAGGTATCTGACACAATAGTGCTAAACCAAGTAAATTATTTTTAAAATCTCACTTCTCAGATACGTTCATGTCTGCATTCATACAAGGTACATTTCTGCCCTGTACCAAAAACACTTTAAAAAAAATACTTTTTTTTTTTTTTTTTCCCCAGACAGGTTTTCTCTATGCAATTTAGGTTGGCCTTGAACTCAAAGGGATCCCTCTCAGCCTCCCGAGTGTTATGATTCCAGGCGTGCACCTCCACGTCCGGCTTCACACCAGAAATGCTTAAAGCAGGTTTATGTTGTTTATTTAATTACTCTTTGTGTAAAAAACATTGTGTTTTTTCTCAAGCTTCTGCAGAAATTGCTGGATGACCGCAAATCTACAGTGGAGGTAATCAAACGAGAAGGAGAAAAAATCGCTGCAACAGCAGAACCTGCAGACAAAGTGAAAATCCTCAAGCAGCTGAGTCTCCTCGATAGTAGATGGGAGACTTTGCTTAATAAAGTTGAGACAAGGTAACTGTATCACTTGTAGTTCTTTTGAAAGAGTAGCAGGGCCCTTGAATCTGTTTATCTTGGTACCATGGTTCTACACATCTTTATTCTCTGACGATCTTGGCTGTGAATATAGGTAGCAAGGGTTGTGTCTTCTCGGTCCTCATTCTTCTAATGGTAATGGCTTACCGTCTCAGTGGCATCCCAATGTTTTGGATTAAGAAAGCATCTTCCTCGGGGTAAGTAGGGGAACTGTTCTTTTATGGCGTAGTTATTGTCTGCTCACTTTGCATCAAGCACAGAGCCAGGAGGAGAGAGGAGCTGGACAGGTCGCCTTTGTCCTCAGTCAGGTATAGATTAGTAGGATTTACATCTGTTGGAAAAAATGTGACGTTTTGAAGAGTGCTGAGGTAGTGTGTAATGGGAGGAACCTAGACTGGGGCAGGGACGTGATAGCTAAGCTGTGTGCGAAGGGAAGAGTTGGAATTGGCTAGACTAAGAGGCAGGTAGAAGAAAACTTGAGCTCATGAAAGCCATGAAGCCTAGAGCCTGGCTTCACAGGGCTTTTGCTAGTATTTTTCTTTCGGTAAATCCCAACTCACATTTCATTTCTGCACTGACAAGAAGTTGACTGTTGGGAATGCAGCCACAGTGAAGTATAGTCACTTAATTAGTTGGACTGAAAGTAGGTGAACTGGGCTGGCGAGATAGCTCAGTGGACTAAGTGCCTGCTTAGGCAAGTGCAGGGACCTGGGTTCAATCCCCAGCACCACATGCTGTCATGGCCCTGCCCCTGGCCACCGAGACTGAGTGTGGTGGTACACGCCTGTAATCCCAGAGCTGGGGAGGCTGAACAGGAGGATCACTACAAGCCCAAGATGCAGTCCATTAGAAGAAAAAGAAAAAAGTAGGTGAACCACTGAACAGCATGGTGTGCTCCGTATATCCCTGCCTTCTGTGAAGCTAGAAATTAGCAGAACTGTTTGCTAATTTTGGATTATGGAATACAATTGTGGTTTTAGGACTGCAGAATGAGGTACTCTTAAACAGGTGGAAGTCTTGTCCTTTAATGTAAGTCAATAGATTAACCTTATGTGTCATGTCCCAGGACACTGAGGCCTGGAAGATATTGGAAGATACTCTCAATATTTTTTTGTTGAGACTAAATGAGTAAATGTCTACATCTCAGCTCTACTTCTAAAACTGCTTTTCTTTTTCTAAAACCTTCTTCACAGTGGTATTCAGGGGCGCCGGGAAGATGGCTCAGTAGAATAAGTGCTTCCCTGGCAAGCACAAGGGCCTGAGCTCAATCCCCGGTTCCGCAAAAAAAAAAAGGCATTCAGTGGGAGAGATAGTAATGATAATTATGATTCAGACATGTATTACTCTTAATTTCAATCATAGTAAATTAAACATAATTACAAGACAGTTTTCAAATTTTATTTTTATTAGAACATGTTTGTAGCACATAATGGTCACATTCATGGTAGGTAATACACATAATATCCTAATTCTTTTTTCATCCCTTTCTCCTTCTCTTCTCTCCTTCTGTGTGTTGGTCCTCCTTTTTGCAAAAGATCTATGTTTCTGTTTCCTATTATCTGACTTAAGTTTTGTTCTTTGATTTATTTCTATTTTGAGTTTCTCATGTAAGACAAACCATACTATTTAAGCTTGTGTGTCTGATTTCTTTATTTCACTTCACATTATGGTCTTAAGATACATACATTTACCTACAAATGCTTCAGTTTTATCCCTTTTATGGCAGAATAGTACTCCATGGTGTATTGTCTCAGTTACTCTTCACTCATGGCTGGGCCAAAATACCCGCCACCCAAAATTAAAGAAGGAAAGGTTTATCTCGCTCACGGTTAGTGGATGTTTCAGTCCATACTCGGCTGGGTCCAAGGCAGAGCAGCACATGACAGAGGGCAGCAGTTCATGGTGGTGGAAGACAGCGAAGATCAAAGCGAGAAACAGCAGCTGCAGCTTCTAGCAAGCCCCTCTCCCTGCCTTACATTGTAATGCATATTACCCACCCTAGGGCAGGGGTAGTACTCACACCCATAATCTCAGCATTGAATCATGAATTAATTATGAACTCCAGAAACTGCCGCATTGACTATGTGAGGCTTTGAGGGGATACCTAGATACAAACCATAACATATATAAATGCCACCTTTTCTTTATCCATTCATTTGTTGATGGATGTGTAGGCCCTTTCCAAGATCCAGCTATTAAGAATTGTACTGCTGTGAATGTGGGTGTGCATATATTCCTGTAAACTGATGTATGTAACTCTTTCGGGAAGATACCTGGAAGGGGAATAACTGGGTCAAATGGAATTTCCATCTTTAGTTTTTTTGAGGAATCTCCATGCTGATTTCCATAGTGGTCATATTTGTTTATATTCCCATCAACAGTGTAAAAGGATTCCATTTTCCCCAGTAGCCTCACCAATATTTGTTATTATTTGATTTCTTTATGACAGCCATTCTTCCTAGAATAAAATGGCATCTCATTTTTTTTTTTAATTTGTATTTCTCTGTTGGCTAATGATCTTGACTTTTTTCATGTATTTATTCGCTGTTTGAACTTCTTAGCATTGTCTATCGTATTTCAATTCACCATTTTTGATTGGGTCCTTTTTTTTCTTACTTATTTGGTACAGGGTCTTACTATGCAGCTCAGACTCGTAGTGATCCTCCTGTCTCAGACTCCCTAGCACTAGGGTTACGGGGTGTGCCACCACAACTGGTTCCAGTGGCTGGCTTAGTGCAGGGCTGGCACCGCATGCGGTACCAGGGATCGAACCCGGGTCCTTGCACTTGCTAGGCAGGCACTTAGACTGCTGAGCTATCTGCCCAGCTCAGGGTCTTTTATTTTGGCGTATAACTTTTTGACTTCTCTTTATATTCCCGATATTAGTTCTCTGAAGAATATCAGGCAGAAGTTTTTTTTCCCATCCTTTGTTCTTTGTTCTGTCAGTTGGTTCTTCTGCTATCTGGAAGCTTTTTCTCTGATATGATCCAGTTGTTGATTGTTGACGTTACTTCTTGTGCCATTAGGGTTCTGTTCAGAGTCCTTGCTTACTGCTAATTTAAGTTTCACCTGTTTTATTTTCCCACAGGTTAAGTGTTTCTGTTCCAACAACTCAGATCTTTGCTCCATTTTGGTTTTAACTTAGTACGTGGTGAAAGATACATATCTAGCTTCAGTTTTCCTGCGTGTGGATAATCAGTTTTCCCAGCGCTGTTTCTTCCAAGGACTGTCTTTTCCTACAGCGTGTTTTTGACCCTTTTGTCAAAGATTAGGTAGCTGAATGTGCGGAGCTTATTCCTGCATGTTCTCTTCTGCTCCACTGGTGTCTGTTCTTATGCCAGTAGTATGCCTTTTTTTTTTTTTTTTTTCTTTCTTTCTTTTCTTTTTCTTTTTCTGCAAAGCTTGATTCCGTAGGGACTCAGTCCTTCTTGGCAGCTGCCTTCCTCGTGGCAGCCAGCATGTTGCTCGGCTCCTCGCGCATCCTGTTGGCGCAGATGTGTGTCCCCACCCTTTTCTTGATGAACTTGAGGGTGCGCTTGTCCTTGGAGACCCTGAGCAGCTCCATGGCGCGCCGCTCGTAGGGAGCGAAGCCGCACACCTCCCGGATCATGTCCCGCACGAACTTGGTGTGTTTGGTGAGACGTCCGTGGCGGCGGCTGTGCCTCGGTTTGCTCACATTCTTAGTCACCTTGTGGCTCTTGTTGAGGCCCACGGCCATGGGATAGCGGAGGGCCATGGCTACTCTTTTTCAATGGTTGCTGTGGCGGAAGCCACTGCAGCTTTATAATACAACTTGAAGTCCAGGATTAGGATGCTTCCTGCCTTCAGGTTGGCTTTTTTTTTTTTTTTTTTTTCCAGAACCGGGGATTGAACTCAGACCCTTGCGCTTGCCAGGGAAGCGCTTATTCCACTGAGCCATCTCCCCGGCTGCCCCCCCCCAGGTTGGCTTTTGGTATTTTGGGTCTCTACTAATTCTCTCTGAATTCTACAATTATTTTCTCTAGTTCTCTGTGGAATGCTGTAGGGATTTGGATTTGGATTGCATTAAATCTGTGTATCAGTTTTGGAAGTATGGCCATTTGGACAGGATCAGTTCTGCCAACCCAGAACCAGGAGCAACTCTCTTTTCAATTTACAATATTCTCTTTGGTCTTTTTCAGAGCACTATAGAACAAAACATTTTATTTTCAGGGCTGGCCTGATAGCTCAGTGGACTAAAGCACCTGCTTGGGCAGAGTGCAGAAGCTGGGGTTCGATCCCTGGTGTGTGGTGCTGGCCCCACCCATGGGGCATGCTGAGATGGTGATTGAGACTGGGCGTGGTGGCATGCTGCCTGTAATCCCAACCCTTGGGAGGCTGAAAATGGGAGAATCACTATGAGTCCAATCTCTGTAGTGAGACCCTGTACACCCTGTAGACGCTGTTCTAAATATAGGAAAACAAAAAAACACTTTTTTCCCCATTGTTCAGGTGATTGGATAATTGAATTTAATTCAGAGTGATAATCTAAAGCTTAAAAGAATACTGCATAGTAATTTCATCCATTTCTTGACCAGATGTAGTCCCATTGAAAGTTTTTAAAAATGTATTGTACATAGTTTGTGATTTAATGATACAGAAGGTATATTGTGTCATTTGTTGATTTTCCATAGTTACCTTTGTTTTCGTAACAAGCTAGGTTTCTCAAATCATGAACTTCTCTGAGAATTGTACATAGCAAGAAGCTAAGACACCTCTGGGTCCTGACATTGTATTACTGCCCTTATTTTCAAGGATTGCTTTAGATTTTCATTGGAATCAAAAATTGGTGTTTTATCTGTTGCTCAATGTGAATTTTTATTTCATCGAACCATTTCAGTGTGTCCTATAAATGTTAAGAGATTTGTTTTAATTTTAAATGATCTCTGTAAAAAGTGTTTAGAATAGAATAGTTAAGCATGACTAAAGACTTCTGTTGAATTCTTCACACATTGTTCATCCCAAGTGACCTTTACCTTGGCACATTTGTAGGACTCGTCAGTTGGAAGGTATCTCGGTTGTAGCCCAGCAATTTCATGAAACCTTAGAACCACTGAATGAGTGGCTCACCACCATAGAAAAGAGGCTGGCAAACTGTGATCCCATAGGAACCCAAGCATCGAAACTTGAGGAACAGATTGCTCAGCACAAAGTAAGCTATAAATCACACATCAGTAAGGCTCGGTTTTCCATTTTTTCATGGTTTTGTGACATAAATTTGAGTTATGTACTATTGTTATGTTTTGTGTACTTGCAAAGTAAATCCATTTCAAATACCATCCTTTTATGACATTTATGTTTCATCTTTATTTGTCCATTCTTTCTGTTTTGTTCTTTTTTCTTTTTTAAACTCTGTGTAGGCTTTAGAAGATGACATCATCAGTCACAGTAAACATTTACACCAGGCTGTTAGCATTGGCCAGTCCTTAAAGGTTTTGAGCTCCAGGGAGGATAAAGAGATGGTGCAGAATAAATTAAACTGCTCTCAAGTGTGGTACATTGAGATTCAAGAGAAAAGCCGCGGCAGGTCTGAGCTGCTCCAGCAGGCCCTGTGTAATACTAAGATTTTTGGGGAAGATGAAGTGGAGCTGATGACCTGGCTAAACGAAGTACATGACACACTGAGCAAGCTCTCAGTCCCAGATTGCAGCCCTGAGGGCCTCGGGGAGCAGCAGGCTGAACTGCGGGTATTTTGATTTATTTCATTTCATTTTGTTTCATTTTATTCATTTCAGTTGTCATTATGTTATCAACATTCCTTATTTCTCTATTTTATGTCTGTTATGATTTGGTTGATTCATTATACTCAAAAAGGTTTTGCTTATTTTTATAAGATACTATTCATGAAGTCACTTCTAAAGGAGATTTAATTTATCTAATTAGCAGGACCTTTCACTTTTTATTTTGTAATTTTATTGTTGCCTACAAAGAAGAATAAACCAGGACTTCAGTACCTCCACATAGCCTGTTCTCATACAGCCCTGAGTATTTTCCAAAAAATGAATGCGAAGAGTGAATGTTTGAAAATGTGAGATGTTCACTTAGCTATGTCTCTGAAGCCTAATTAATCTCCCAGATTTCATTTTTCTTCCTTACACATAAAAGTGGTACTTATATTTTTAGGTTCTACAAGAGGACATCCTGCTCAGGAAACAAAACGTAGATCAGGCGTTACTCAATGGCTTAGAACTTCTCAAGCACACCACAGGTGAGCAATCTTTTTAATCAAAGGACTGTGCAGTCATTGAGCCTTGCTTTCAGAGTATTTTAGGGATGGGCAAAAGACAAAACATTGTATAACTTTTGAGTACATTCCAAGGCTTCGTTGTGGAGAATGTTTTGAAGACCAATCAAGAGGGGTTTAACAGTGTGATCTCACTCTTTTCTCATGATCTCACTTGAGTGCCTGGTGGACATTGTGTATATTACTCATAACCTGAAACGCTTTGGCACAGGATATGGTCGAAGAAGCCCATGAGGGAGTTACGTTAGTTTTCCACTTGAAGAAGGCAGATGAACACGGAGGTTGCAGACGATTTTTTGGGGGGCAGATTGCACTGCAGTGACACATGCTGTGGCAGGACACAGACTTCATTTCTCCAGGCCTGAATCACTGAGAAAACAGTTCCTTGGTTTACGTATCTGTGAACTTTTTTTTAGAACATCTAGGGGAGACCAACTTGTTCTAGTGATTCTTTTGGCCATAGGAAGGTGTCACTTATTGAATCTATAACCAGTTTAGCACCATGAGTGTATGGGGAGCAGTTACCGTTTGCTGTGAGTTGGAGGAATGCAAGTAGAGCCTTAAGGTAGAAGCCAGAGCCCAGGACTCAGTTTCTGTGTGCCTGAGAAGGAGGTAGAGACACGCAAGGTCCACCAGAAAGGGCAGATGAGGGACAGCGAGCTGCCAAAAGCACAGAGAAGTTCGGGTGCTCGGGGTCGGCTTGTAAGCTGTGAAGTCAGTGACCTTAGTCCCGGTGTTCTTACCCCCTCTGCTTCAAAATTGAACATGCTATAGGATAGATGTAGAAGGGCTGCTTTCTTCATACTGAAGGTGTTTCTCAAAACTATTCTTTCTTGATTTTTACAATTATATTTTAGAACTGATTAAATTTGTCAAATCCTTGAAATGATGAAAACATAAATAGGGCTTCTCTTGGATCAAATCATCTTTAGAAAAATGTGTTCCTTTTTTCTCAATAGAATTTTGTCAGTGTACAATAATGCCTAAAGAAACCGTCCTCCTCATTTTTTTCTTTTTATAAAAAGTAACTGTTGCAATTTTAGGTGATGAAGTTTTAATAATTCAAGATAAACTGGAAACCATTAAAGCAAGGTACAAAGACATCACCACGCTGAGCACCGATGTTGCCAAGACGCTGGAGCAAGTGCTGGAGCTCTCCCGGCGGCTGCACTCCACGCACCAGGAGCTGTGCGTGTGGCTGGACAGAGTGGAGGTGGAGTTACTGTCCTACGAGACTCAGGCTCTGAAGGGAGAAGCAGCAAACCAGGCACACACGAGACAGAAAGTATGCCGTTTACGTACACTGTGTCCATTCGAATGTGTATGTGCGTTGTGTTGTTACTAATGTGCTGAAGGATGCCTTGATGGGCCAGGACTCAGCGGACACTGGCCGCAAACCAGCTTTTGAAGCTTTTATCAACCTAGACATCAAAAGTTCATTATTTGTTTCAAGAATATTATGGTTGGTAGCGTAAGTCTGCCATACAAAAGACAGCATGATGATAACGAGCGGAAACCCGTGCGATTTGGTTGGACTAGCAACATGGGTTTTCTGATGTGGCACGAAAGTGTAGTGACGCTGCCTTGATGATGATTCTTCAGAAATGGAGCCTCAGCAGCGTGGTCACTGGAGGGTGAAGGGCCTGGAGAGCTTCGGCTTCCCGGCCTGTGAGCTTTCGGCTGGAATGATGTAGCACTAGTTTATGCCCTCACATTGGAGATGACTTGATTCCAGCTTGTAGTATCTTCTTCTCTCCCTCCTCCCCTCCTTACCTCCCCCTCCTCCCCTCCTCCCCATCTCCCCTCTCC